TTTAAGCTTTCTCTTATTTTTTTTATATTTCAAACTTAAATTTTGATGCTGCGGCCTTTTTTGTTTTAAATATTTTGAATGAAAATAATGATAAAAAAGTAAAACTTTTTCATCAATAAGCTAGTATTATTTTTAAAGAAATAATGCTAGTGAATTACTTCTCAAATGCTGAATATAAAATCAATTTTTAATAAATTTGTACATGCTTGATGCTTGGACTTTTTTTCACTTTTTATGCTTGAACGACTAAAAAAAAGTAAATCATTGTTTTTCAATTTTGTAAAACTTATAGTTGTTTTGTTTTTTTATTGTTTGTTTCTTGTTTAATTGATTTTTTTAAAATTTCTCTTTCTCTCCAGGTGGCCCGCTTTTCTCTTTTTTTTTTTTCCCAATTTGAGGACCTACCAAACCTGAATTATTTATCTCAAAATAAAATCATCTCTTTCTACTGAAATTAGATCTGTTTTTTTGGGGTTTTTTTTTCAAATGCTACGAAAACCTCCCTTTTCTCAGATGTGTAATAATGCAACAATACAATAGAAATTGAAATCACATTGATTTGGGGCAAAGGTGGTGTCCAGCTATTGTCATAAGAATGAAAAAAAATAGGAAATCTGAAAGGTTAAAAAAAAATAAATTCAGGTTTTGTTTACAAAAATATATTTAATTTACTTTTACTTAGATTTAATAATTTGGATTTGAATCTATGTTTATAATTTTTATTATTGGATGCCATGATGTTGCTCTCTCTACTGTTCATAGTTTGTGTGTGAAAATCAGGAATTTATTTACAGTCATTAAAATTTCATGGTTATTCCTTCTCTGTTCTTAAAACAACTAATTCAGTCAACATTTTGATTTGATATTTGTTTTCTTTACCGTGTAATATTAGGAAGTGTAGTGTAAAAAACGATGGTTCTACGTTAAGAAGATAAGTAATAATTTATAAATAAAAATAAAATTTACCACTTTTATCCGTAATTTCCGATTAGTTTACTCAAAAATACTTAAATATTTTCTGAGTTCCCCCTTTTTCAGTGTGTTCCTCATGACAGACCCAGCCATGTTGATAAAGAATTTACCCACATTCGTTTCACTATATTGTACAACCCTACCCTAAACTTCCTTAATTTCGAAATTGGGGTCACAGCCGATTTCAAACTACGAATGCGTTTATTTTTCTCATTCATTTAGATATTTTCAGTGGATTATTTTAACTACAACGAGTACAACTTTTTATTTGTTTGTTTCATTTTTATTTTTTCTTAAGAGATATTTTGAATAGGAATTTCTCTTGGTCATACATGGCCCCTTGTACTACTACTACTACCACCACCATTAGTGCTTTCCTTAGTAAAAATCAATTGGGTTAGTTAAGTAGAAATTTTTGCTAGCCTATTTCAGTTTGTTTTTTTTTTTGTTTTTTACCCAAATATCAATTCAATCGAATGTTATCGTAGGTCTTGATCACTATATTTCAAGTTATGTATTCTAGTACATAAAATATACAACAAAAATAGGTTCAGTTACTGTAAGTAATTAGAGAGGTTGTACCGTTGCAGTACAATTTATTAATAAAAATAAAACTGATTATTATGTATTTGAACTGTGTATTAACTTTGAAGAGATAAAGACAATTATATATTGATAAATTTGAATTTTAAAAAATAAACAATACAGAAATAAGTTTAATTTGGTCTCGTAATTGTATTTTTGGTGATCAGGTGTTGTCTGGCTATGAAAAACGGAAGTAAGCTTCTCAGAAGGAAGAGAGGGACATGAATTTCCTTTTCTCGATTGAATCTAGTTATGCCTTTAAAAGAGTTTAGGGCAAACAAAACTAAAACCCTTTACTTAAACTGTTCACACATTTGCTTCATTATTTACATAATGTTTACCATCATAAGTCGAAAAAAAAAAAAAAATATTAAACCCAATTTGGGTTCTTTGTGCCTATAAGTGATGGAGTGGATCCACTCGTGGTCTGCTCCTCACATGCAGTAAAAAAAATAAATTACAATGGATTTGTTTGTTAAAAATGAGAACAACAGATTATCAAATTTACGAAATGTCACGAAGTTAACTTTTTATTCAGAAAATCCGAATTTCACATTTACTTCCTTATAAAAAATTATTGTATTAAAAGTAAAACTAGAGAGAGTACCTTCCTGAAGAAGACAACTGCAAAGATTTCTGTGAAAATAAAATTCGACTCGTTTTTACGCAAAAAAAAATATTTCCATGAATTGTAAATGCACTGTAAGTTTTCAAACATTTTATACGTAATATTAATTACTCGTCTTGTAAGGACTTTCAAAAAAATATTTCAAACTGGTTGACATTTATTTTTACTTCATAAAGAATTATTAGGATACTAAGTATAAGCAAAAAATGCAGTAGTTTATTCATCAGAATCGTGAATAAAGTTTAAAAAAATTGAAATTAGAATTGTTCAGTTTCTACACACACACACACACACACACACACGTGTGAGGCTCTTGCAGTTTCTAAACATTTAAAATGTGATACTTTGAACAGCTGCATATTGATCTGTGTTCCTCGTCTTCCTCTTACAGACAACGTTATTGATTAATAGATTTTTGTCTTTCTGTGTTTTCGTGCTTTTGATCGTCTGCACATGTCAGTCACGACGGGCACAATGACATTCAACTGTTGGGCATTTGTTATTGCACTGAGGATAAGGGGTGATTAGATTTTTAGACGAAAAGTACCAAGTTGAAAGAATCCTATTATTTAAGGTTATAAATATTTAAAATATATGAAATAATGTTTTCAAACAAAAATCTCAATTTTAAATTATGTACAGAAAAATTCAAGTAAATGACATACATACATACACTACACAATTTTGAAGTTTGTCATAAGATGCGTAAAATTGTATTTATTTTCTAACATTCCTGTTGGATCAAAGATACACATTCTGTGTGATGTACTTTTTTAAACTAACTAGGATGTTTGTTTTTCAATTCGTCGTTTCTCTAAACGTAAATAATAGATCAAAATCGGAATATCATCAATAAAATTTATCAACACAATAATCAAAATATAATCATAACAATGTGTTGAAGTGTAAAATGTTTCAAATAGCAAAAATCCAAAATTCGTGTGTAAAAAAAAATGATTGTCAAGAACTACATTGTAACAATGAACCCAATTCTCCGGGGAAAAAAAAAAAAAAAAAAAAAAACACGGAGAAATTGATTAAAAATGCTATTGGGACGGAAAAAAAATGAGTTTCTTACACTTTTTGATGGTGTTTCCAAAGTGAGAGGAGTTTCACTTTCAATTCTCTTGATGACAACTGAGTTTTCTTCCATAGCTGGTCGGCGCAGTGATAGTGGAGACTATCTCCATGTGTTTAATAAATAGGTTGTCGTTGCTAATTTCAGAAACTAACAGACATGATAGAAATCAATGCTTACTGTGCACAGTTTCATTATTTAAAAGGAAAAAAAAATCTTAAATCTTGAGATGCTTTGGGACATAGAAAAAAAACAAAAACAAAAAACACCAGCTTCCTGTTTCTACATCACCTTTTTCGAATTATTTCCAAAACATCCTTTTTTTTTTTAAAAAGTAAAAGTAAGCTTTTAAATAATGTAAAATTACATTGTTTAGATTACATTTTTAAGATTTGCTGGAGTTGAGGCGGATTCTTACGAACTTTAGCAAGTTTTAAATCTTTATTTTTAAGAGGGTTATCTAACAATTAGGATAGCTAGGTTTAACTTGCAAGTAAAATATTTTGAAAAAATATTTTGAAAGGTTGAGTTACCTCCCTTTGATTCATGTCTCAAATTATGAAAACAGTTGACGCATTGAAAAGTTGGTTCTAGTTACTCCAACAAAACAAAAAAATGTAATCTAAAGCCAAACAGATAAGACGATAAGAAAACTGATTTTAAATGAAAAAGGTTTAATGTCTGTACAAGTAATAAATATATAATTTTTCCAGTAGAAAAATTAGATGGATAAAACCTCAATTATGTACAGTAGTCTTGCATCATAAAAGTTGCAGCACCTGTCATTTTGAGAGTCAGTTATGTACAGTTTATCAAAATTTACAAAACTGTCGTCGGAGCAAGTTCATTGGAGTCCAATCTATGCAGAAAACCTTGTGGACTTAGAAATCGAACTGATGATAACCAGGCTGGCCGAGAAAAGTATTAGCTGGTCAACAGCTAATGACTAGTCTCGAATACTTAAAAAATAAAAAAACTTGAGGAGTCGACCGGGCGGACTAGGTAAAACGTTAACTTCAGATTGCTTGTAAGTATCACATCAGAAGTTAGTTTTGCTTTTCGTTTTGCATCCGTCAGTTTTTATAAGAGCACTTACTGTGATGGAGTAAGGGTTGCTCTCAAATATCCGCAAACCTCAACAAATTTTAGACCAAGACATTTTTAAAAAGCTCAATTTTCTTTAGAAAGTTAAGAATTTAGTCAACGTTCAGAACAAGTTATTTTGGATGAAAGACAAATAAATAGATTTGTATGTGGTACAAAAAACATTGAGGGAAGATCAGATCAGACAAAAGTTCAGATTTTGCATTTTTTTTTTTTTTTTTTTTTTTTTTTAAAAACTTAATCTTTTCTGCAGAAACTCTGTTTACATTTTTTAGTTTTTCTTTAGCCAAAATAAATAGTGATTTTTTTCCTTCGATTCATGGGTGGGTAAGTCTCCTGAATTCTTTAACTTGTTTCTTTATATATATATATATATATATATATATATATATATATATATATAAGAAAAAGTGAGCTTATTTCTGTGTTTTGTTTGTTTTTTTATAGATTTTTTTTCCACACGTACTTTTCTTTCGATCATAAAAATTTATGCTTTTAACCGGCTTCACGGACACCCCGCAAATTGTGCAAGTTTCTTCCACAGTTCTCAGAGGTAAGAAGAAGCGTGTCTTGGATAAGTGTTCACGTTCACAAAAAAAAGGAAAAAAATATGGATGGGGATATGCCGAAGAATCACATGAGATTATGATTGTTCAGTATCCGACATCCACTGTTCACGTGCTCGATGATTTGTTGTTTAAGTTTGCAGATATCGTCCCTAAGGGTGGCAGACAATTGGGACAGTTCCGTATTCTGATCCTTAAGTTCTTTTACTCGTTCTTCCAGTCTTGCTATCCGTTCGAGTTTTCGCGTCCGACACTTTCGGGCAGCGATTCGGTTTCTGGCTCTTTTTCTTTCCAACTTTATTCTTTCCTGTGATTCCATATTTATCGGAGATAGTGGCGGGGTGCTACCCAAGCATGGAACAGTTTGTGGTTCTTCCTTCAGTTTCACGAGACGGGCTTCGTCGGTTGAACTGACAGAAGAATGGGTGGACAATGGTATTACTGTGGTGGTACCCGACTGCAGGGAAGTTACGACAGGTGGCTGAGAAGTTGCCGGAACCCGACCATTTACAATATTTGTATCGGCCACCGACATTGTGTTCAGCCCATGTTGTTGTCCCTGGGTATTGGTGCTCCCATCATTCGACGTTTGAGTATAGGGAAAAGTGAGTCTAGCGCTAGGAAAAGCAGGTGGAGGCGATGTAGAATTTTTTTCTTCGCCGTAAGTTTTGTGTAATTCTGCTAAGGCATCCACAAATCCTCGGGCATAGGCCTCTTGTTCTTCGGTCACATATTTCGGGCACAAAAACTGAGTTGGGGTCGGTGTTGTGGTCACCATTCCATTAGCTTGGATAATCATCCTTTCCAACTCGGGCGAGGCGAGCTTCAGCAAGTTCAAATCAGGCGACTGAAGCAAGTTGTTTATTTTTGCCTGTTTCGTACTGCTTACACCAGGAGTAAAGTCCAAAGTCATGGACTTTTTGAGTCTTTTCAGGGATTCGCTGCTTGGGTGACATTCATCGTGGTAAAATGTTGTCTCCATTTTTTTTTTTTTTTTTTTTTATAGCGCGCAAACTTAAAATAAAAATATACAAGTCAATATTGTAAAAAAAAAAAAAAAAAAAAAAAATCCAACACAAAGGAAGCTTTGAGAAATCGGAAGGGAAAAATCTCCTCCAGAAAGAGTCAAACAACTTTGTCGAGAAATTCGAATAAAGTCCTATTCGGTGATCATGAAAATATAAAACTGTTCGTGTCTTTTCGATGCTATTTCAAAACGTGATTTGACTCTAAACACTTACCCCAACTCCTTTTATTCGTATGAGTCATCTCCTAAAAATAAAATGACATCACCAGGAAAGCTTCTGATTGGCTGAAGATGACATCACTTATTATGTTGAATCCGGAGTGTTCATTGGTCGGCTTTTTTTAAACGAAGGCCACTCAGACTGAAGCATTCAGTAGTAAGATGCAACGTCACTGACACTGGCTGCTTACTGCGTAGTACGTTTTCCTTATATGGGCAGTGCAGTGCCCACACATACACATCCACTCACATGCATTTACGCTCAATGTGGCATTTACCCATGTCTTCTACATACGCACACAAACTTAGAAAAAGTTGCGATTATACGTAGAGGAAGAGAGAGAGGCACTTACACATTATTACATGCATGGACACAAGCTCGTTGGCTGGAAGGACTGTTCCTGCCGTACCTAATGAACTCTACTCTCTCTTTCTCTAACTTTGCTTTGCGACCAATACTCGTATTTAGTAGTAGCAACAATATATTGGAGTTTGCTTACTACTACTACTACTACTGTATTTAAAACTTCTCTATTAGTAGTAGTAATTTGCTTCTCGAAGAGGACTACTTTACGTGCGCGCACACACATACACATACAATGTAGGTAGGAGGGGGAGCCTAAGACTTTGCATGAGTTCTAGTAAGTACTAAGTAGCAATATAGAACTTTAATGACTACACATACACAGCGGAAGTAACAGTTTTTTCTCCACTAATTCTAGTTTAAGTTTATATCTGCTTGAACTTTTTTACCCATATTTTACACTGGTAAAATTCTTACTTTTTCAGCCTAGAAAAAAATTCAACTTTTAGAAAGTTGTAAAAATTAAACTTTTTTTTTTTTTTTTTTTTTTAAACCTTCACTTTTTTTGACATTTTTTATTAAGTAATTATTTCCATTAAAAAGAGAAAAAATATTTTTTTCACTGATTTGAGCAAAGTTATTTGTTGCCTAATATTGACTCCGTTAACAAATTTTCACTAGTTTTAATTCCAATCTCTCTTGAGAAGTTTTTTTTTTCTTTCCACTTCCTGAACATTTCCCCAAAAGTACCGAATTTCCTAATGCTTCAAAAAAATCAAGCACTTTTTTAGCTGCTACTCGACAAGCTCATGCAGTTAACAGTAACACGCTATTGTTTCTTCGAAATAACTTATTGACCAACTTTTGATGTTTGTAGTAAAACTGATTTACTTAAAAAATTCATCCATTGGTTTTTTAAGAATGTAAAAAGAAATAAAGTAAATGATCAAAATTTACACTTTAAAAGTAATAATAATGATCTACATTTCAATTAAAACAAAAAAAACTTCTTTACAACATGCAGGTCTAAAAAAAAATGAACGGCATAAAATAAAAATAATTCCGATTATTCTGCAATAAAAAAGTTTTCGTTATTGATGAAATTATTAATTAAGCAAGTGATTAAAATTTAAAAGTGTTTGGAATGTTTTCGAATAATTAGGTAAGAAAATTCGGGTTGGGTACGTCAAGTGCTTTTAGGTTCTTTTTCCCATTGTTTTTTTTTGTTTTTTTTACTTTTTGTTTTTTGTTTTTTTGTTTGTTTGTTTTTTTTTTTCAAAATTTAACATCGTAGGCTTAATCAAGAAAAGTGAATTAAAATGTGGTTTAGAGGGAATTATTCGACTTAAAATATCTTTTTTTTTTCTATGTAAATCGTAGTGAAAAAAACATAGTTATCGTCATATTGTAATAATGTAACGTTTGAAATGTTGATATAATTTTATGTTGTGCACTTGTGAACCATCAACCAAAATTTAATTTACGCATTTTTTAAGAATTTAGCGTTTTTAGCTATATTCATTCAAAACAATTTTTTACCGCTTCTTGTCAAGGGTGAAAAACAGTTGCAATAACTTTTTTATGCTTTAAAAACATTTTTTTTTATTTTTATTTCATCTTCGAATTGTGTACTTGTGCCTTATTTTACCTTTTTGTTTGCATTCATTAAAAAAAAAGTGACGGTGATCTCAAAATAAGTTTTGAACATTTTAAAAAACATTTCAAATGTAAAACCATTTTGTTATTGAAGATATATAAAGTTTGACACTTTAAATGGCAAGGTGGGGGGTACACGAGTCTTTTTTTTTTTTTTTTTTTTTTTGATAATCTTTGCTACTTTACCTAAATAGTAATTGGAAATGGAATCTCTTAGTGCTTTTACTTTTCAAGATCCTGTCACCCAAAATGACCAGACAGAGACTTATCTTGTTATAATACAATAAATTGGTTTATAAAATTTTCTTACTAAGGTGTGCTGAGCGGTTCTTGCCCTGACCCATTGTACCCACCCCCACCCCCACCGACCAAATATTAGGATTATTTAAACATTCCTTCTTATTACAGCCGAGAAAACTTATGTACGTTCTCATGTGTCGTGTATCGATAACATCAACAAGAAAAAAAAAAAAGCATGTGGAGTTGTTGACTACACAGGTGACGCATATACATTTTTACAATATTTTGTCTTTTTACTAGCTTCTTATTTTCATTTTTAACTGTTTTATTAAAACTTAGTTTGTGTAGCCAATTTTTGATAAGGCTTACGTTGAACCGAACGGCATTTTGGATAAAACCATAAAACACTGACACTCCTTTCCTTTTTATTTATTTATTTTTTTTTTTAGTGTTCTCACCTGATTTCATTTTAAGTTTATTGCTGTTTGTTTTGAAAAGTATAATAGGTTTACTTTTTTTTTACTGAACTCTTACTGTAACTTGTGTACTTCTTAAAAACTCAGTTTGAAAGCAAAGGATTTGACGTGAAAAAGAAACCCACAATGAATAATTGATTGTAATTTTTGGCGGGGGTCATAGCAGACGGTCACTTGTGATGTCATAAACACGTGTTTTGTTTTATCTTCAAAAGCTAAATTTAAATTTTTTCCTTTTCATTTGTAATATCTATTTTGTATAGGTTTTGTATTTTTAGTGGGTACACATACACACTGTAGATAGAAAGATTAACTAAATAATAATCAGAATCACGTTCATTTATTTAATTTTTAAAGTTTCATTTTTGATTTTAGTTACGAAGGCTAAAAGAGGGAAATTGTTTGTTTTTTTTTAATCGAGAATTTAAAACTAAGAATTTTCTTTGATATTTTTTACATTTATTATTTCTAAATAATGTTTGTTTACTTTTTTCACTCGTTCTTGAATAAGAAGAGTAAGTAAGACTATCTCAAACTCAAGAATTTTATGAATTGAACAAAAACGAAATAAGAAAAATAAACTTATTATTATTATTATTAACCAATTTTAAACAGTAGTTTTTATTGTTTGAATTTTTTGTGAAAATGAAATAAAAACAATAATGAATTCCCTAGGCTAAAAAACAAAATGCAATGAATTTGCTACTTAAATTGATTGAATGATGGTAATACTATTTACTATTACTACTAATAATAATAATACACGACGCAGAGTGTACTGTACAGTGTACACTGTACAATTATATAATAAATACACGAAATCGAATTATAAATGTAAAAACAAATATCAGTGTAATCGATATTTAATAGTTGTTTGCTGGTAATTTCCTTTTCCCTGTTGGTCCACTACACACGCCTGGGTCTGTCTGTAGTAGCAGTTCGAATAAATCTGTTGCAAGCCGCTTGAAAACAAGGCGGGAATTTTGTCCCTTCCGTTTCTCTCCAATGTAAACATAAGATGTACCAACAGCGAACCATACGATATAATCCAGCTAATCCATCAAATCACCCCCAAAACTTTCTCTCATAGGCTTTGATCATCATAAAATTTTAATATTTTGTATGTAAAAGAAAAACACGGTAAAATAAAATTTAATTCATCCATATTGCGGCAATATTAATATTGCCTCAGCTTTTTATGTGTTTTACTTTTGTTTGTTTTCTCGCTTCATATTTCGAATAAAAGTATCGTTTTCCTTATTGTAAATTTAAAAATGCCACTGATTTCAAAAGTGGAAAACTAATTAGGTGTTTTTTGTTTGTTTTTTTTTAGTACTGCTTGCTTTTGTTTTATGATGTCTCTTTTTTGCGTAACTAATTTTTCTGTAGAGTGTTTATTAATTAAATAAAATGATTGTTATTTTATGAGAACATTTTTAAAAATGTCAAAACTTTACAAAGGCAGTTCTGAAGTCTTGTTCTTTTAAAAATTCAGTTCATGAACGAAGAGAAGAAAAGTTCTGTTTTTGCAACTTTTTTCTTCATTTTTTTCTTTATGGTTAATAAACTTGGTTGTTAACTTATGAAAACAGAAAACTTTGCTCAGACATCATTCTTCTGACAAATCGCTAAAAAAGTGTCTGAATAATTGTCTTCTTGTCCTATCATCGATCGTTAAAAATGAACGTCATTATCCTATAATTTCAGTTTCATTCATTTGGTTGTTTCTTGCTTTGTTTTTAGGTTTTTTAGAGAAAGAAGAAACAGTTATTTAAACTCGTATATTAAAAAAAAATATATATATAAATTTATTTAACCAATAGATTTTTGTACCTATACCCCTGGGGATAATATGTGCAAAAAAATGAAATGTTTGCTCAAATGTTACCTTTCACACGGACACGGTAATAAATTTTATGATCATCATCTCACTTCTTTTGCTACAATAGTGAAATTTTATTTTTAAATCAAATCTTCCTTATGTTTAAAAT